ATGAACGGTGATTATGCGTGAGTGTCGTCGCCGGAAAAAAAAGTGTATCGTGGCGTAATCACGACGTAATGAATCGTATGTGAAAGCGAGGTGACCACGATTGCGTAATGCATTGTAAATGTAAGGTAAGTGCATTCGCACACAAATTGCCGGAACTGTAAACGTAAGACGTAAATTCAAGCTGAAGAATCAATCAGGATATTGCTTCAGGATTGTGTCTAACAGAAGATAGAAGTGCAACTGGGATTCAGACTAAGCCAACTAGAATTTCAGTCAAATCCTAATTACAGAAGTAGCTTAATAGAAGCTTGCGGTTAGATTTACCGTCAGTTCTATTTTCTTCCAGTGTACACAAACTTAAAAAAACATGCTTAAATGTGCCGAGTTAGTGTTAAATTGACGTCTTGCGTTCGCAGCGATTTGTGTGCGAAAGTCCTAATGCGAGCCGTTGCCGTCATCGACTTGCCTCCGCGCGGTTCGCTCGCACGATCATCTAATCGCGATCCGATCGAATAACCTTTCGTCAGTTGCGACCGGGCCTTCCCTCTCATCCGGTGCAGGCGGACGTCCGCACCGCGTGGATTCGAATAGAGAGAGAACGCGTGTATGGCCTCCTCCTCTCCTGTACACGTGCCCGCCGCGCGCGTCTAGTGCTTATGGCGGGTTTATACGTGCGCGTATCCAACATGAACAGCCCATATGGGTCACTGCCAGTGACAGGGAAATACTGCCGCTGCTAACTACTGCCTTTTGCTCTAAGTTATAGCGGCGCACGTATATATGGATCCGATGCTGCGCGCGTTCGCGCTGGGCTTTCATTATTTTTCCCCCGCTCCCCCGTCTTTTGCCACTGCATCGTCGGCCCTTCGTGCCCTCGCGAAGTCGACTGTCGAACGAGCGTCGTCGTCTCGTCCTTCATCCCGTGTCGACGCGTCGGAAAATCCTCCCGTAATCGCCGCTACGGCGAGGCGACTTCGCCCAGATTGTGCGAAGTGGAATATTTTATATACAGAACTTTAGTAATGCCTTCCGCTCCCGGTTAGGGTGTTTCGGCGCATAGGCGTATTATGTTTGTATTATGACTATCGGTTTTGAAAAAGAATCAGCAATTAATCATATTAATTGCAACAGTAATAATAAATGTACACGAGAAGAAAAAGATTAGCTGCAATAGCTAAATTTGTTGCAACATATGAACATCTACTGCGGCTAATCTTTTATCCCGTGTATATGTTTACCATGTATATTACTGTTTCATGAGATTAAGTTGCCGATTTTTTTCAAAGCCAACAGTTATAATACAAAAATGGACGTGTACAATGAGAAAAATGTCCGACCAGATATCTGATATACATACAGCTTAACTCCTTGTCATTTTGCAAACAACGCTCTCCAGCTCGTTTCATATTCCGTTTTCTTCGGATTTTACAGAGAGTCCGTTTAATTTTCATGAAACCACCGCATCGAGGAATCGCCGCAAACTCTGTCTCTCTCTCCCTCTTTCTCGCTCTTATTTCGCGTTACGACAATTTGAATAAATATTCCACTTTTGCAATCGGTACTGAGAATTGTGTTGGTTTTCCCGCTCTGGACATCTTAAATCCGTTTTACACATCAGCATTACTTTCTTCTCTTTTCCATTTTTGTTAAAATCTCTAAAGTCAACCAAAGATAAATATACGTTTCAGCATTAGTCGGCTATGTGACCTCTCTTCAGTACATTTTCTTTTTTATTACCCTTCGACAACTTTGATGAAATCGCCGGAATCGTTCACGTCAATTCGGCCTCGCTACTTGACGTCGCCTGATCCACTTGACTGGCGAGTATCCTTTGAATTTAAACTCAGTCGCGAGTTTCGTAATGAGGAAAATATGACTAGACTTGTGTGCGCGCGCGCGCGCCGAGTCGCCTCTGCAAGCGTTTAAATTATCGTTATGTCGGGAACGTGACGTGAAAGAAGATCTATCTTCTACCCGATATATACACTTGGCGCTATCATAATTACGCGAATAATTTGCTTTCGCAGCCACAAGCCGAGCCGTATGCCTAATTAAGAGGAATAGACAATGTAATATTCATATGAACGCGATATCTCAGTGATAGCGCGGATTGCGCGAAAAATTTTTCACATTTACTAAATTGCTCCTCGCTCTCTTTCTCTCTCTCTCTCTCCTTCTCTCCTTCTTCCTTCTTTACATCGACGAGATATTCTAGGAATTCGATTATTCAAATTTCGAGAATGGTTCGTCGTGTGTACTCAACGTTAACGCGATTCACGAACCGCCGGCGTGGTTTTATTCACGTGTGTACTTCAAACACGAGATATTAAATTCGCGCGGTTACACGTGGTATCAATTTGCATGAAGTAGGTTCGAAATGAAACGGCCGTCCGTCCCATACTCACGGAGTCCCGGACATTCGCCACGTCACGAATAAGGACAAATCGCCGCAAAGGATCGACGCGGGTAATTTTCGAAAAAGGACGAACGGCCGTTTCATTTCGCGGCTGCTACTGTATACAGACGCGCGCGCCGTTAAACGTTCAAAATTTCGAGCACGCGCTCTGAAACGGCGAATTGTGCGTTAAGTTTTCCCAAAGTGCCTGGAACTTGTACGCGACTTCCCCCTCGTTCGAGATTCGCTTCATAGATCGCGCGATAATAGAGGACAAATTTTGAACGAAAGGGATGTTATACTTGAAAACTTTGCCAGGAAAATGCTGGCTTCTTCCTGCAGTTTACGTTATATTGACTGAGCAGAATTATATAAATACAATTCTCATAGTGAAAAAAACACGAAAATGAATTGTAATGTTGCTTAATATGTAAAAAAAAAGATTCAAAATTGACATCTCTAACTTAGCATACACAGAAAAAAAATGTGCGAGTAAATAAGCGTAAAATTAAAATGACATGTAACTTTCCTTCTTAACTTATCTTTTCTAATGACTTCGTCACGTTAATTTTACGATCACTTACCGATTATGAAATGAAAAGGGGAATTTTCGAAATATTTTACTGATATATTTAATCAATCTTAGTATAGGAATAAATTTTATTATTAAAATTGAAATTGAATTTACTTTGTTATTTTAGTTCCGATTGTGTTGCATAATTAAATGTTTAACGTAGGGCCCAAATATTGACTCTGAATGAATCTCTGATCGAGTTAAAACAAAGTGAATTGGAAAGAAAATTGTGAAAACAGACGGAAGCCTCTTAGACCGTGATTCTCTCGCGCATCACTTGCGTCAATAACTAACGTACGGCGGCTGTTCTCGGGGAGAGATCTATGTTCTTATTCAAGAAATCGCAGAACACACTACGCTCAAGTTTGCTCCTGCGCGCTTCACTCGCGTGGATGTTGGAAGTAAGAAGCGAGCAGCGCACACAGCCCCCTAATGAACAGATTACACGCAACGGGGAATTGCGAAACGTAACTCGCCCGCTCGCTCACTCGCTCGTAGGTGCACGCCACGTAATAGGATCGCGGAATTAGAATTGATAAAATCCATTACGAATTAGCACAGATTGAGGTCTGTACGAGCGAGTCGAATATTCGTTCTTGGTTGCGCATTAAGTCACCAGCGAAATCGTTTCCTCCATGACGTATTTGACAAGCGCAAGTGGAACGTGAATACCAACGTCATCATTTTTTATCATCGAGTCTGGTAAATTTGTATGTACGTGTAATAATACACGATTCATGCGTGCTCGCTCTAATAAATAATTGTCACCGGTGCAATTTTCTTCGTTGCAAAATCATCACGTCCTCGTTATTTATAAAATGTTATTTGTGAAATATTGTAAATGTATATACACATATTTCACGATATGTGGAACGTTATGTTTTGTTCGTCAATTAAACGCGGATCGCAGACAACACAATTTATAGTGGAGCTTGGGCGTACGATGTAATAACGCAAAATATTTCTGCATCCTTTGCGCGCAAGCGCCCGCTGTAAGACGGAGCTTTCCAACGAAATTAGCTAGCAACGTGTAAATAGTAATTGAAAAGCGTGTTGTACAGTTGCGTAACTTACACTAGTTATTGAATTAATTTTAAAAATCTTTTTTTCCCATCATAATTTTAAGAAGAAAATTGTTTATTTAGGTAAGGTTGTTGGAGCACGTATTTTGCTGTTGCTTCGCCTATTGGTTTCGTTTTTTGTATTCACTTTATATTGTTGCTTACTTTTTTTGGTTCTTTCATCAATAAAGCTATTATTATGTTTTATTAGTATTATTGTTGTGTTGCTGCTGTTAAATACCTGATTTTGGCCAGAACGTTCGTTCAGTTTCAGACAATTTGTATTAGAAACTTGCAAAAGTTCATCTGATTATGGATGGTTCCACTGATTCGAACGATGAGAGAGTAAATTTACAAACGTGGGACCGAACTATTACTTGAGATGAAATGTGGTGGAAAATGGTAAACAACGGCGACACAGAAGACAGATAACTGTATCATTTTGATTGAACATGGTGTGTACAGTTTTGTTATTCATTATTAAGAGAAAAATGATTAAAAAGAATCCGACGAACTTTCGCAGGCTCCCAATACGTACAATCCGCACGATGCAACATAAATGATTTTCCATTTTTCGAGATAAATTGTTGGAGAGTCGCATGAGTGTGTGTGTGTGTGTGTGCAAATCCTATGAAAGATTACAGGAGAAAGCGAAGTCAAAGAGGGCCAAAAGAATGCAATATCTTCGCCAGAGTAGAGGAGGAACGTGCAGTCTAGCAACGCGCATGATTCGATTGATATACTCGTCGAATATGGATCGATTGCAATGTGTGTTTTTTTTTTGACGAGCTTAGTTTCTTTTTGGGTCAAAGGGCTTCGTTTCGTAGGCATATCACGGGGGCGCCAGTGCATGGTCACTACAAGCACGTGGTGTAGTTATAGAGGTCGCCTAGAGAATCGGGAGCTTTCAAAGCCCGCAGCAGTCAGTCGGCAGCCGCCCGTGCTGTACCAACCGGGGGTGATATTTTCCGCTCTCGCAAATTTCGCTTCTCGTCTCACCATCGTAAAAAACACTTGACACGGGCTCGTGACAAGCAGTAACCGACAGATTTATAACGGTAAGTGATGAGAATAGCCGACAAGTGAATTCTTTATCGCAAATTTAACTTGGAAGTGGTCGGTGAAAAGAAAGAAGAAAAAGGCCACGTTTGTGAGTATATAAGTTGATACGTCGTTTCTTCTGACGGAATAAAATTTTATTTTCCGGATTTGTGGTAAATAGTTGATGAACTTTTCGAAGATTTCATATAATATATGAACTAGGAAAACGGGAAAGAAAGAGAGAGAGAAAGAGAGAAAGAGGAGGGACGGGAAACAGAAAGTAATATTTATTACTGACAGTGTGAATTTTTACGGTAATTAACAATGCTCGTACGCTCACGTGGAAATCAATAAAAGCGTTGGCCGTGTATGTTACGATTAATTAGTATCTCCTTTTGCTTATGTGTGGCTTGTTACACGTTAGTTAATTAGTTTTCTGAGCGTCAGCTGAAAAGGGACGAAAAGAAAAGGAAAGCGAGACATTTCGAATCGCAATATAATAGCGTTGCATTTGTCAGTCACATTTCCGAGTAAGAATTAATCTCACGCATGAATCCCTAATTTCCGGTTAGGCACGCGGGAAACGTGACCATTTTCTTTTGCTACGTCACAAATCGTATTTTTAAAACCTCGCTTGAAAAATGACCTTTTCTCTTTTTTTCTCTTCTCTCTCTTTCTCCTCTTCTACGGTTGTTCAATAGACGGAATGCTAATGATCTTTCTAATGAAAGCTGCTTGCTCGGTATTTGCCGTCTTAAAAATCTTCTTCCCTTTTTTTTACTCTTTTATTCTGCTTTGCATATAAACTTCTTCTCGATTTCTGCGTAATATCTCTAAAATTATCGACTGATGGAACATAGCACAGACCTCGAAGCATAAAGGATGTTAAATACTTAATGCAGCGCATAGTAGCGCAGTATCATAATACGTACTTAAACTATGAGAGAGAGAGCGAGGGGTGGGGAGGGAGGGAGAACAGAGAGATAGGAGAAGGAACGGACGCGATGGGGGAAATTTATATAAAAAATAAATAAACTCGAAGATACACGCGCACACGCACACTCTTACACGTACGATGCTTAGATAGACCTTTTTATGAAGAGCGCGTTTCATAAATCTACGACGGGAAAGAGAAACAACACATATATTTAGAAATTTATTTAGTTCCAGAGTCATACTATACTAGTTTAAATCGCGGGACTGAATAAAATATAAAGATCAACTGTGACATCACACAGTATATTCTCCGCTCGAGGTATGCGCGCGCGCGCGGCGGCTTGACTTCGTGCTTTTTCCGCCCCCCTGAATGATGCATAACTACCGATAACCAACATCACACGGGCCTCCTTTAATCGATTTCACATGCCGCGTCCGAATAACGCGGTTGACACGATCAACGATCCGTCCTCCTATCCGTCTTCCTATGTAAATGATTCGGTACAAGGGTCGGAGGATCGGTTGAGCCGACCGTTCAATTTCCATCATAAGTGCGCGCGTCTGTGAAAGGATCCATATTAAACGACAACCATGAGAACAACGGTGACGACAATTCAAATTCATCGAACTGGCGCGACCCCGGCAACGGCACGGATGAAAATTTGACCTATGGATCATTTGGCGGATGCACGGGCGTGCTCATTAATCGAATGCCATTAAAATAAATCCATAGAAAATCGCGACGGCTTCGCGATGATTAAAGCACCGCGAGGCTACTTAAAAGCTGTTAGTCGCCAGCCGGCAATTTATATTGAAATTCAATACGAACTTAATACGAACTCTTACCATGCTTGACGAATTTTGTAACGTAAACGATCACCTGGGATCGTTTTGTAACTCAATGAGTTTTTACTTATACTATGAATAAGACAGGTCCCAGGTTATTCTTGTTGCACAGATTAGGTCTCTAAATATCCAAATAAAAAGTACATATTGGTTTCCGATCAGTAAAATATTAAATGATCATTATTGTCGCAATAACAAACTTGTCGTAATTTTGCGTGAATTCGCGAATCAATCGATTGATCCTGTTGCGAAGCCACTGACAGCATTGGACGTACTCCGAGCATCTCATACTTCTTCGTCCACCGGCTCATCCGATTAGGTATAGGTTTTCAAATCACTGCAAGGATGTCAGCATCTTCCAAGTAATCTGCATTAATGCGCTTAGGAAAGCGAAGTTCTCGCGGAAGTTAAGTTGACGTAGTCTCATCGCAAAGTTGCACTGTTACCTACTTAGATTAAGAAACGACGCCCTAATTCGAGAGGGGGGTGCGGGTATATGTGGCTGCAATATTCATAAGTATTCGTAAATACGACGCGTCATAACTCTTTCAATTATTTCGCCGGGAAATTTACAGAGCTCGCGAAGTTTTCCCCGACGGACGTCGGAGAAAGTTCTCCGGCGCGTTAATATTCACGTATATATTAAGAAAAAGGGCGTATCCGCGCCGAATTCCACCGACATCGCTCCGCGGAATTGGGAACGCGAATAACGGGAGGAGGGGGGGAGGGGAGAGCAACGATGCTTAGCATTTTTCTCCGGCGATACCCGCCGAATAATGGTTCACGTGTAACGGTCTCTTTGTGTACCCGATGATCTCAGCAATAAATTCGACGTGTTACGAAGGAGAAGGAGTACGTGCCAGCTTTGCTAAACGTCCGGCATACTCACACATTCATTCACTTACCCACTCACCCACACACATATACACACTCAGCCGGGTTACCGTCGAATAAGTTGCAGTCTCCGGCTACGGAACCGGCTCTATGTTCGGTCTTGTTTTAAATGGCGACGGATCGACCCGGCCGACCTTTTAAAGTATTCTCTGATAAATTACGCCCGAACAAAAGGTCGGCTGAGGAACCGCGTCTCGCGGTGCTGATTCGATTGCGGACGCGAGGGACGTCTGCGAGATTTCTTACTTTCCCACCACTGCGTTTTCTCTGCTATTCTTACGACCGTTTCTCTTCTTCTCTCTCTCTCCCTCTTTCTCTCTGCGCTGCATATTAGCGGCTTCAGCAGCTGCGATACCTATTGTTCTTCCCACGCTCCTGTTTGTTCTCTAGACGCTCTCACGACCGATTTACGTACAGTTCGCTGCCGGACGTCGCGCATATTTCGCGGAAAATTCGCGAATTGACCGAGACGATCCGAGTCTAAATTTGAGCTCTGTGTTAACCGGTTTAGGACGGGCATACTATATTTAATTTGAATATCTCGAGACAACGGTTTAATATTTTTCAGTGATTTAAGTATCGTTTTAATCACGCTATACATTTTCATACATATCCTCTTCTACGATATTTGCGATTTTCGAATCTGAGGATCGCATTCGCGTTTTATTTTATAGTTGTCTAGTAAAATTCGAAAATTTTTTTCGCTCATTGTCATTATTGAGATAAGAATTTTATTCAGAAAAGAATAATAATAATAGAGAAAAGAGAAGAATCCATTTATTTCACCGTTGAAAAGATTTCGATTTTATCGCGCGTACGTAGATAATATCGCAGGATCGCGCGCTCATTATATAGACCAGGTATCTCTCTCTCTCCTCCTCTCTGCGAATGTACGTTAAATTTTTGGCTCCACAATCCGCTAATTCTTTTGTCGTGAAGCATAAATATCATAGCTATTTCTTCGCGCGCTTACATCCTGATCGACGCTAAATCCAATACGAAGTGCGCGAATAGCGCACATTTTTCCTCAGTTTTTCCTTCTCTCTCTCTCTCTCTCTTTCTCTCCCTCCCTTTTCTCCTTTTTCTTGCTTTCCCACTCTTTGTTTCTTTCGTATATCCTCCGTTTTTATACCATTTTTTATACTTCTCTTTTCGACGGAATTTCTGGGAATTCCACCGCGTCGAATTATTTGTGCTCTTACGATCAATTCATCGCGATCCACGCGCGAGATATCGAAACATGAAGTCGAAAATGTCGTCCTCTTCCTCTCTCGGCTTCCCCGACACACGTAGTAACATTAACTTTGGCCAAAATTGGGGAACTATACTTGCAAACTAAGAACTATTAATACCTCGGATCATGTTCTTAGCACAGAGACTCTACAGTGGATTACCTATAATACGATTCGCTGATAAATTCGTTGATCCAACTAACTTTTGCGATCAGAGAAGAACGCGGCTTCGAATTAAAAGTTTCGAAGAAAAAAAGAATCGGGACAAAAAAGAACATAGTTCCAAAATTTTATAATGTGCCTTACGGAGAGGGCACTCGTGTGGATACACGTGTACCGTTTATCACCTGCTCGTGATTTCGCTGGCGATTCACGGCGTCGTAAATCGGACACGCGATGTCCGCCGCGAGTCTCGCTCCCTAATTGCACGCGATTGATAATCTGCGGTTAATTCGTACCAAGGAACTACGCGGATTACGCGAATTACGTAAATCACGCGTATCCAAGTGAATAATTTTTAATGTGGTGCATTGTATTTGGTATAATTTAAAGATCGCTATTATCCCGAATTGAAATTTTGGAGCGAGGACAAGTGTCGGTATCGTGAAAGTGGATTTCTGTTAATTCATAAACCACTTAGGTAGGCGCAAAGTATCCTTTAAAAACATCAAAACAGCATCCAAATTTAAACTCGGGACCATCGCTTCTATGTCGTATTAATGATGTCGAGACAACGAGGAACGTGTCTTCGCCGTATTTTCGCCGGGGGGATCGATTGTTCCACAGCGCGGGCGGTGTATTTCACGAGTCTGGCGCGCAGAAATCTCCGGCGGCTTTCATAAGACGGAAGTTTCCCTTACCGCGTGGCCGCGCGCGCAGTGAGCGGAGATTGAATTATTTTTCTTTCCTTGCTGCGCGAACGGCATTGCACGCGTCAAGAAGTAAACAATTACGACGATTGAACGGGTGTTTGCGCAACAATATTTTCAGCGGACGCTTTCAGCGCGTCGTCAATAGCCGAATTATTCGCACAATAGTGAGAGAATACACATCGTTCCTCTACCGGCGTAAAACATCTCTGCGTTATACTGTATATCTATATATTTCTA